ATGTTGACCAGGATGGTCTCGATCTCTTGACCTCGTGATCCACCCGCCTCGGCCTCCCAAAGTGCTGGGATTACAGGCGTGAGCCACCGCGCCCAGCTCATGATTCTTAAGTCTTGGAAAAGCCTGTGCTCCCGATTGCCCTTGTGGACAGCCAGGATAGGTGTATTGCAGGGAGAGTTACAGAACGTTAACTCGCCATGCCTAAGGAATCGGTTCATGACAGGCTGGAGTCCTTCTATAGCCTGTGGCCGTAGTGAGTATTGTTTCTTAGGAAAGAAAGGGAAGGTTTTCTTAGCTGGATTTTGACTGAGACTGCAGTTGTTGCCCTTCCTAGCATATCAGAGGCCCTTATCTTGGGGTTATTTGTGATTTCGGATCAAGATAATTCACCAATGTCACGGGTGTTTCTTCCAAAAAAAAAAAAAGGCCTTTAAGGGAAGTTCAGGTCCACGTGAAGCATGCCCCTAGTTTGGAGAGTGTATCCCTGCCCTAAAGAGGTATGGGACATTCAGACATTACCAGGAACTCATGGGAGAAGATTAACTGGTCTTTTGACAATAAAGAAGGTTTAAATCTTGTGAAGAGGAGGTGCCATTTACCCTGATTACCTGACAGAGGAAAGTTGCCCAGAGAAGGGGGTCAGCCTGAGCAGGCGACTCCCGAATCAAATAGAAAATGTATTGTCCTACCTGCTACGTCCAGAGTTGCCCTTGTCTCCATCTCTTTGATGATGATGTCACATCTGGGAGCAAGCCACAGCAGAGGGTACCTCAGCTCAAAGCCATCATTGGATTGGAGTCCGGCTTGGGGCCCTTTTGGCTCTCAGGACAGTCCCCTTTTCAGTAGCTAAGCCGACGGCAGAGAGGACAGACCGTGTAGGGCTTTTCCCCCTTTGGCGCGTAGGGGCAGTTTGCCTTCCAGTGGCCCAGCTCCCCACACTGGTGGCACCTCCCTGGGAGGGCATTCTTAGGGCAACCTGGAGGGGGCTGGTGGACTTGGAAAGCGGCTAATAACTGGGACTGCCTCTTCTCTTTCTGTGTCTCCTTCTTCTTGGCCCTGTCCCTCTCATCCTGGCCTCGGCTATAAAACACCGAGGAAGCTAATTTGAGGATTTCCGACATGGGGACACTGGGTCCCAAAGCCAGCCTTCGCAGTTTTCTCCTAATGTCGGGGGCAGCTTGTGTCAGGAAGTGATCCTTGAGGACGAGCTGTCCTTCTGGGGATCCCGGGTCTAGGTTGGTGTGTCTGATAAGAATTTCCTGGAGCCTCTCAAGAAAGGCCGCGGGGTTCTCATCTGGCCCTTGGTCGATGGTTGCTAACTTATTATAATTTACAGGCTTGACTTGACTCCTTTTCATTCCCTCTATTAGGCACAGGAGCATGTGGTTTCTGGCGCAGATTCCTGCCTGGGAGTTGTAGTCCCAGTTGGGGTCCTGCAGGGGAACAGCCGTAGCTCCCACGGGGTAGTTGGCATCTGCCAAGTGTAGCTCATCCCCGCATTGACGGGCCGCCTCCCAAATGGTCTGTCTTTCTTCCAGAGGGAGGGTTTGTCCTAGGAGGATGGTGACATCCTTCCAGGTTAGTTCAAAAGTGCGGGTTAATTTACGGAAGCCCTCGGTGAATTTTCCCGGGTTCTCCGAGAATTTTCCCAGGCCTTCCTTAACTTGGGTCAAGTTCTGCAAGAGAAAGGGGCCTCGAACCGGGACTGGTCCTGTGGGTCTGCTCACCGTTGGTAGTGGGCAGGTTCCAGAGCAGGGGCCTGAGGGACCAGCGTAGGTTAGGGCTGACCTGTGAAGGCTAAGAGAAGGACATAAGGAGGAAGGAGCTGGGGGTGCCTGTTCTTCCTCTTTGGTCTCAGGAAGAGGAGGTTGAGGTGAGTTGACCAGGAAATCTTTGAAGTTTCCTGGTTGAGGGTTCTGGAGTGGACGACTGAGGATAGCTAAAAGGGCAGGATCTATCTTGCAGCCTTTGCAAAAATCGGGGTTTTCCCTCAAGATCATAAAGGTTTGCACATAAGGGACCTCGGACCATTTGCTCTGGTGTCGGCAGTAGAGGTCAAGCTGCAGTATGGTATTAACATTTAAGCTTCCTCCCTCTGGCCAGGCTTCCTGTCCTTCTAGTTTATATTTTGGCCAAACTTTATTGCAAAGAAAAATCAATCTTTTTCGTTTTAATGCCTGGGGATCAAACTTATCCCAGTTTCTAAGGATGCATCCAAGAGGGGAATCCCGGGGTACGGAGATCTGGTTACCCATCTGAAAGAGAAGACAGGAAAGAACGTAGGATAGAGAAGG